TAGCCGGGCGCAGCGAGGAGGAGTGTGGGGCACGGCGGAGCCGGCCCTCGACGCAAGGCGTGCACGGTGGCGCAGTTGAGAGAGGAAGGGCGGGGAGCGACGCAGGGAGACCTAAGACAAGGCCGTGCTGGGACATGTGACACAGACGAGGGAGTGCAGGGTGGCCTAAGCAGTGGTGCCAGAGAAGGGACGGGTGAGTGAGGGAACGACACGAGCAAGCTGCAGCAACCTGGGAGGACGCACCAACCGGAGGGGAAGCGGTGTTGAGGGTAAACAGACCGGACACCGCGTCCCGAGGGAACGTCGCAAGGGGGGAACCTGAGACAGCCTCAGAACAGACAGTGAACCGCTCGTGCCCGGGGAACGTGGTGGTGACGCCGAGGTCCTGGAGACAGCCGACACCAACCAGGTTCCTCGAGAACGAGGGAACGTGGAGGCCTGTAAGGGAGCCCGAGGGAAATGCTGGACAGGGAAGGGACGTAGAAATGCGAGCAACGATCGGACCCGCAGAGGGGTCAGCGAGAGAGACGACAGATGGCGTAGCAAGCGGCGTGAGCGCGGAACGGTCGCGGAAGAAGCAGGCAGAAGCACCGGAGTCGAGAGTGAAGGACAGCGCAGCAGTGGCGGGGGCAGGGAACGGAGCCGGTGCAGAGACGAGGCTAGACAAACTAGTCAGTCCTACGCCTGACGCAGCAGGGGAGGCTAGGCTACAAAACGGTGCAACACCTAAACTAGAGAACACAGGGTAATAAGATCCAGCAACACTAGCAGCGTCAGAATACAAGGCATGCAAAGCAGCACCTATCTGATCCATGTCTAACTCAAAGATCGGCACGCCCTGGCGGAGCAGGCTGTGCCAGTCAGGGAGGTCCGGGGCCGGGCCAAAGCGACGACGAAACAGATCGTCGAGGTGGCGGAAACAGCGGGCAGTCGGGTGCGGGCGGCGGCACAGAGTGCCGCGAAGGGGCCCGGTCTGAAGCTGGTACTGACAGGTCACAGCAGCTGAGCCGCTGGTAGACGCCAAGCTGCGCGGGCCGCCACCACTGCCACCACCTCCGGAGGTGCCGAGCCAACCAGGCGGGAGGCGAGCCCACTGCTGCGGGGGCTGCGGCTGCTGCTGGGATGGCGGCTGCGGTGCGGGCTGCTCCTGCTGCGGCTGGGGCTGCTGCTCCTGACCACCAATGCTAGTCCCCCCAGACGGACTAATCTCACGACCACCAACACCACTACCTGCGCCACCACCCCTACCACCCTGGCGACCACGGCCATCGCGGCGCGAGCGCTGCTGCGGGTGGACCGCAGCAGCCGTCTCAGTGAGGGGGGTTGCCGTGGCGACCGCAGACGAAACATCAGTGAACGTGCACTGGGAGGGGGCATAGCCGTGAAAGATAGAGATTGCCGGCGCACCGCTCGACTGAGCGATAGTGCGCTGGCGAGTCTCGATCTTGGTAAGGGTGTCGACAAAGGCAGTGAGGGTGAGGTCAGCCGAGTGCAGGCTAAGGAAGTGATCGCGAGCACTAGCGAGGCGGTCTGGCAGGCGCATGGCGATAAAATAGAGCGTCATGCAGAAAGGTGGGGGGAGCGCAGTGAGCTGGGCAGCAGTGCTGGCAGTGCGATAGCGGGTCTCTAGGGCACGCAGGTGAGTGGCAAAGTCTGTAACGGTAGGGAAAGCTGCAAGGTCTGGGAAAAGCATAGGGAAGAGCAGGCGACCAGCAGAAGCAGACGCGGGTGTGGAATAGCGGGCAATAACAGCGTCTAAGTATGCTTTGGCCGTCTCAATAGTAGCAAAACGCGAGCGCTCAGAGACAGGGAGGGCGTGGCTAATAGCAACCTGAGCGACTGCATCGCGGGAGTCCCAGACCGCACGGGCAAGCGCAGCAGTAGAGAAGGTCTCACGGTCATCAGAGGAGGGATCAGCAGGGAGGGGAGCAGGTGCGGGGGGGCGGGGGAGCAAGCCATCGACATGGACAACCAAAGAGTGGCCATCTTGGCGCTAGCCTGTAAGGTGGCGGCGGAGATCGGAGAGCCAGGCGGCGAAGTCAACCGCATGGCCCTCGGCGTCCAGTCGGAGCACGAAGTCCGCCATCATGCAGGGTCAGCGGCACAGCTCCACAGGAACACAGCGACGCAGGAACACAGCGACAGCCCCCTCCAGCACGGCGGCCGCGAAGCGCCTCAGCACGGGCGAGCAGAGGAGACGGAGCCCGCGGCGGCACGGCAGGACGAGCCGGGGCGAAGGGGCCAGGCAGGTGCTGGCGGGGCCAGGCAGGCGCGGCGGGGCCAGGCAGGGGCGGCGGGGCCAGGGGGCGCGGCAGGGCCAGGCAGGCGCGACGGGCCAGGCAGGGGTGGCGGGGCCAGGAGGTGCGGCAGGGCCAGGCAGGCGCTGCGGGGCCAGGCAGCGCGGCGGGGCCAGGCAGGCGCTGCGGGGCCAGGCAGGAGCGGCGGGGCCAGGAGGCGCGGCAGGGCCAGGCAGGCTCGGCGGGGCCAGGCAGCGTGGCGGGGCCAGGCAGGCGCGGCGGGGCCAGAAGGCGCGGCAGGGCGAGGCAGGCGCGGCGGGGCCAGGAGGCGCGGCAGGGCCAGGCAGGTGCGGCAAGGCCAGGCAGGCGCGGCGGGGCCAGAAGGCGCGGCAGGGCGAAGCAGGCGCGGCGGGGCCAGGAGGCACGGCAGGGCCAGGCAGGCGCGTCGGGGCCAGGGGGCGCGACAGGGCCAGGCAGGCGCGACGGGGCCTGGTAGCGCGGTGGGGCCAGGCAGGCACGAGGGGCCCAGGAGGGGCGCGACGGGCTAGGAGGCGCGACAGGGGCCCAGGAGGGGCGTGACGGGCTAGGAGGCGCTACAGGGGCCCAAGAGGGGCGCGACGGGCTAGGATGCACACGGGGCCCAGGGGAGGTGCGACGGGGCCTAGGAGGCACGAGGGGCCCAGAAGGGGCACGACGGGCTAGGAGGCGCGGCAGGGGCCCAGGAGGGGTGCGACGGGCTAGGGGGCACGACAGGGGCGCGACAGGTTAGGAGGCGCGGCAGGGGCCCAGTAGGGGCGTGACGGGCTAGGAGGCGCGAGAGGGGCCCAGGAGGGGCGCGACGGGGCCTTGGTGGGGGCGGCGCGACGGGGCCTAGGTGAAAGCGCGACGGGGCCTAGGAGGAACGGGCGGAAGCGGTAGGCGGGGGGGGGGGTCGAACCTACGGGTGATACCATGTCGAGAAGAAAACTGAACAAGTATAGAATAGAGAGAGAGAACAAGGGTATATACCTAAGAGTGTTGTACCCTCTAAGAGGTGACCCTATACAGTCTATACAAATATGAGTTATACATATATTTGACAATTACGTACCACCACAAGTATGACCCTGAGAAGAAAATCTCCACTGGTCCTTAAGAATCTATACTGCCGCTTGGTATTGAATGTGTGTAATGAGTCGATTTTTTAGTCGACTCAAAAATCGACTTAGTACCAAGGCTGACGTTTAAAAAAAAAGCACCCTGAGCTGTCGAATGTGGAAAAAAATTTACCCTGAGGGCCAAGTGTTGGAATTTTGACTTCCCTGATTTCTCAGTGTTCTGGAACTTACAACCCTGAAACCTCCAGGGTTGGCTATCAACAATCAGGGTTGCATTGCACTTGGAAAAAATCAACTAGGAATGTACAGCTACTAGTTAAGTAAAAGCACCACTACGCCACGCCAGTCTACAAGTCCTCTATCTAGTCTAGACTTCACAATATTCCACGCCACTAGCTAGACTTGACTAAAATTCTGGGCCATCCATGTTCACTTCGTCTTCTGCCTCGTCATCGGACAAGGGGTTGTCTTCCACTTCAGGAGGAGCCTCTCCCCCCACTCCCCCCTCCCCCTCTCCCTCATCCTCTGCCCAATCCCCCATGTAGTCGGGGACTGCCTCCTCCTCCACCCTCACTTCTGCCCCCTCAATCGCCTTCGCCTTACGCTTCCTCTCCGCTGCGGCAAACAGAACAGACTTAGCAGGGCGCCTCAGCTTCTCGCGCCAGCACCCAAGGGCCTCGTCCCAGTCAGTCTCGTACTGCAGCAGAGAAATGACCGTCAGCTCGCTGAGGCGCGCATTGCACAACGCGCCCCGCACCCATGACTTGATGACGTTCTGCCGCGAGAAGCCTCGTTCACACTCCACTGTGTTAAGCGGCAGGACAGCGCACGCCTGCCACAAGCGCATGAGGTTGGGCCAGCGCCTGCCAAAAGGGTTGGGGGAACAGAGTACACGGAACAAGACCAGTGCATTAGCGATGCTGGTCAACAATCGATAAACAACAACTTATTAAGAAAAAAATAAAACCGCCCGTAAAAAATGATTGTAGCAACAAATGCTACAATCGTCTGCAGTGCCTTGTTCGAGTGCCTTGTTCAACAGGCTCCGTCGAGGTTTGTCGAACAAGGCACTGCAGCCATGTAGGTACTCCTTCAGCTTCTTCTCTCTCTGCTGCTTCATCCGGGGCCACTTCGACACGCGGAAGAGCTTCGTCGGGCCGAGATTGTTCAGGTCCAGCATCCTCGTCTTCAGGAAGCTTATCGTGTCCTTCGCGAATTGCGCGCATAGCCGCTCGCAATCGGGGTACTTGCTGCGGAAGGCATGCCCGTCGATCTGCTTCTCGTGCATGGTGTAGGTGTGCGTGACTGGGTTGCCGTCCTTGTCGAAAAGCCTGTCAGCCTGTTGTCAACAGAGGCTGACATTGCCGCGCTCATCATATTCTGTCCTCGTCTGCTGCGTGCTGAGTCACGAATGCCAGTTGACGGTTGCAAATGTTGCTGTAATGGCAACATACAGCGTGTACACGGCGGGAATCTTGCCGAGTGCAGATTCCCCACGTGACGCATGCTGGGCGTGTTCAATGGACTGGGCCCCGTCACGCGTAAGGGGGCCATTTCGAGGAAATTCAGGGTCCGCATGGATGTCGCATTCAGGGTTCGTACGCGTTACTCCCTGAAAACTCAGTGTTGGGATAACACAAACCCTGAAATTTTCAGTGTTCACGAACATACAACCCTGAAGAGGTTAGGGTTAAAAAAACCCAATCCTGAAAATTAAGGGTTGGCAAAAAAAATGGAGAATGTGCTTTCCAGAGGAGAGGGCGTTGTTCCATTGCTCTGCAGCGCACAAAGTTTATCCTTTTACGGTAGTAATAGTAGCACATCCTTGATCCGAAATGTTCAGATATCCGAATCCGCATCATGTAGTCTACCTGCCTCGTCTGCACCCTTCTTGTCCGCATTTTTCCGCCTCGCTGGAGCTCCTAGTGGCCCGCTCTTGCACTTGTCTTTCCGCCTCTCTCCCTTCTCCTTTTTCCCTCCATTCTCCCCTCTCTCCCCCCTATCCCCCTTCTCTTGCTTCTCTTCTCTCTCATGTCCATCCGTCCCAATCAAATTAGCATCACCCCTATCTACACCATTTGCTCGTCTTTCAACCCCGGCACCTTCCTGTGACTTTCCTCGAGCAACACGAACCTCGTCTCCCGAGCCTGAAGAGGTTCGGGAGGCGGGTTGAGAATGGGAGGAGGAGGTTCGGGAACGGGAGGAAGAGGCAGAGGGTGGTCTCGCACTGGTGCTGCTGCTGCTGATGCTGCTGCTGCCGCAATCATTGGTGCTGCTGCCGTCCGTTATAGGGGTACCAGTGCTAGTGGTATTGTGGATGCTGCTGCTGCTGCCGCCGCGCTTGGAAGGTGTGGAGAAGAGAGATGAATTCTCCTTATCTGGCGTGTGGGGTGAGGCATAAGGAAGAGGAAGGTGGTAATGAGGTAGATGGCAAGAGAACGAGGAAGGAAAAAAGGGGGAGGAGAACGGGGGTTGGGGGGGGGAGGGGGAGTCTATTTTTGAGGCGTCTCAAAAATAGACTCCTCACGAAGAGAATGAGGAAGGGGAGAAGGGGGAGGAAAACGGGGGTTTTTGAGTCGAGTGGGGGGTAAGGAGGTGGAGGATGAGAAAGGATGAGAAAAATCACCTAGAGATTGAGGAAGGGAAGAAGGGGGAGGAGAACGGGGGTTTGGGGGGGGGGGGGGGAAGGTGGTGTAAGGGAGAGATCTTTTAAAACTAATCGTTCCTGTAGCTTACCCAGTTGATTAGCATGCAAAGAGCCGTGCCCAAAAACATAGTTAGCCATACAGTTCCATTCCTCATCCAAAATTGTTTAACTAAGAGTGGCTTACCCAAGTAACCCTTCTTCATGAGATATATAACCCACTGTAGCTCACCTAAGTATATTGTCTGCAGTGTGTGCGCCACGTCTTCCATATTCGGCCGCATCAGCGGGTCAAACTGAATGCACGCTTCCGCCAGCTCAGCGCACCGCGCAAATGCTGACGTGGCAGCCACTCTGGGCTGCGCCACGTCAGCAGAAGCATCCGCACTGGGACCGGTGCCAGCTGGCAGCCCCCCCCCTCCACCTCCCGCCCCTTCTGCTGGTGTGAATGCGGCCCGCATGGCCGGGTCTAAAAGCTCGTCCCACCTCTTTTCCTCGAGCAGCGATGTGGCCTGGATTGTGGAGGAGAAGGAAGGAAGGGGATATAGAGAGGGAATCTTTGAGTCGTCTCAAAACTGAATAACTATCACACAGTCCTCTTCCCCCTCCCCCTCCCCCTCCCCCTCCCCCTCCCCCTCCCCCTCCTGCCCTTTCTCCTCGTGTGTTGAGTATGCCGCCCGTCTTCCCTCACTGATTGCACCAAGCCCCCCCCCCCCCCACACACAGTAGCACCGCATTCCATAATCTCAACCAGTGTTTGAGCAGTGAAGAAGTAACATAGTTTTGAGACGTCTCAACTTAACCACTGATTGCACCAAGCCCCCCCCCCCACACCACACACAGTGCCACCACGCATTCCATAATCTCAACCAGTGTTTGAGCAGCGGAGAAGTAAGATAGTTTTGAGACGTCTCAGCTTAACCACTGATTGCACCAAGCCCCCCCCCACACACACAGTAACGCCGCATTGATAATCTCACCCAGTGTGATTTTTGAGTCGACTCCAAAATCACCTTTTGAGTCGACTCAAAATAATCTCACCCAGTGTGTGAGCAGCGTCCCGTCTTCAAACACAGGCACCCGGCCGCTCAGGGTTTCCAGCAGCACCACTCCAAAGCTAGTGGCGGGGTGGGGGGGTGAGGGGGGGGGGGGGGGAACGAATTAAGGCATGGCATGCGAGGGCAGGAAGGTGTGGATGGCCGCTCAGAAATCCCAGGAGCACCACTTTAAAGCTGGTGGCAGGGTGGGGGAGAGGGGGGGGGGAAGGAAGTGGGGAAAAATTAAGGCGTGGCATCGGAGACAAGGGGATGAGTAGTGAGGGTGTGGATGGCCGCTCGGCATTCCGAGATGGGGAGCTCAGAAGCCATGCATCTGTGTGTGCTGACACCCATGCATCTGTGTGTGCTGACGCCCATGCATCTGTGTGTGCTGACACCCATGCATCTGTGTGTGCTGACACCCATGCATCTGTGTGTGCTGACACCCATGCATCTGTGTGTGCTGAGACCCATGCATCTGCGTGTGCTGACACCCATGCATCTGTGTGTGCTGACACCCATGCATCTGTGTGTTCTGACACCCATGCATCTGTGTGTGCTGACACCCATGCATCTGTGTGTGCTGAGACCCATGCATCTGCGTGTGCTGACACCCATGCATCTGTGTGTGCTGACACCCATGCATCTGTGTGTGCTGACACCCATGCATCTGTGTGTACTGACACCCCTGCATCTGTGTGTGCTGACGCCCACGCATCTGTGTGTGCTGACACCCATGCATCTGTGTGTGCTGACACCCCTGCATCTGTGTGTGCTGACACCCATGCATCTGTGTGTTCTGACACCCATGCATCTGTGTGTGCTGACACCCATGCATCTGTGTGTGCTGAGACCCATGCATCTGCGTGTGCTGACACCCATGCATCTGTGTGTGCTGACACCCCTGCATCTGTGTGTGCTGACGCCCACGCATCTGTGTGTGCTGACACCCATGCATCTGTGTGTGCTGACACCCATGCATCTGTGTGTGCTGACGCCCATGCATCTCTGTGTGCTGACGCCCATGCATCTGTGTGTGCTGACACCCATGCATCTGTGTGTTCTGACACCCATGCATCTGTGTGTGCTGACACCCATGCATCTGTGTGTGCTGAGACCCATGCATCTGCGTGTGCTGACACCCATGCATCTGTGTGTGCTGACACCCATGCATCTGTGTGTTCTGACACCCATGCATCTGTGTGTGCTGACACCCATGCATCTGTGTGTGCTGAGACCCATGCATCTGCGTGTGCTGACACCCATGCATCTGTGTGTGCTGACACCCATGCATCTGTGTGTGCTGAGACCCATGCATCTGTGTGTGCTGACACCCATGCATCTGTGTGTGCTGAGACCCATGCACCTGTGTGTTTCGAGGAGCACCACCATTTTTCAGGCTCCTCAAAATAGACCCTCCATGCATCTGTGTGTTTCGTTTTGAGGAGCACCACCATTTTTCAGGCTCCTCAAAAAAGACCCTCCGAAGCTGCGGGTGCTGAGAGGTGAGGGCGTGGATGGCCTGCCAGTGTTCCAAGATGGGGATCTCAGGGGCCATGTGCCCCCATGTGTGCCCACGCATCCCACATAGCATAATTGAACCTACCTGTACACATCGGTGGCAGCGCTGATCTCTCCAGTCATCAGTATCTCAGGGGCCATGTGTCCGTGTGTGCCCATCGCCACATCCACATTCTCCCCCAACGTCTCCACCATCTCCCCAGTGTTGGGGTCTTCTACCAGTATCGTCTGCTTGATCAGCTTCGCACACCCAAAGTCCGCCACCTGATCAAGTGTGGGAGAGAGGAGGGAGAGAGGAGGGAGAGAGGAGGGAGAGAGGAGGGAGAGAGGAGGAGGGAGAGAGGAGGGAGAGAGGAGGGAGAGAGGAGGGAGAGAGGAGGGAGAGAGGAGGGTGTATTTTGAGTCGACTCAAAAATAACCTTCCCTGGTTACAGTTATTCTCCGTCCATACCTTGGCCGCATAGTTGTAACACCTGCGAGAATGTGGGGCGATTTGATATCTCGGTGCAACACCTGCGGCCGCTGTTAGTTGCAGGTATCTCAGCCCTGTACACCATACCAATCCCAGCACCTAGCTCCCTCCATACCCCTCCTCTCCATACCTTGGCCACATAGTTGTCAGTCACGAGAATGTTGGGAGACTTAGTGTCTCAGTGCAGTGCAGCACCTGCGGCCGCAGTCAGTGAAGTTCTCAACTACCTGGTGAATCAGTCAACCAAAGCAGCAGAGGATTTTTTAAGCGCCTAAAAAAAAGCAGCAGACTCGTTCTGTCCATACCTTGGCCACATAATTGTCGGTAACGAGTATGTTGGGCGATTTGATATCCCGGTGCAGCACCTGCGGCCGCTGCGAGTGAAGGTACCTCAAGCCCCGCGCCGATCCGACGGCTATTCTCAGCCGCCGCTCCCACGACAGGGGACCATTTTCCCTGAGCTTGCTGCCTGGTGGCGGGGGGTAGTATAGGGGGGGCGACGAAGACTCAGAAGGAGGCCACGGGGGAGGAATAGAGGCGGACACCTCAACCCTCTCCCTGACCCAACGTCAACTCTCAGCCGCCTCTCCCACGACAGGGGACCGTTTTCCCTCGGCTTCCTGCCTGGTGGCGGGGGGGAGTAAAAAACGAGGGATGGATGATAGAGAGATATGGAATACGAAGGCAGGGACCTAAAAAATTCTGTCGGTGACTATTGAGTCGGCTCAAAAGATAGGGGACCGATCTCATCTCCCTGAGCTTGCTGGCTGGAGGTGGGGGGAGAGTAAAAAACGAGGGATGGTTGATAGAGAGATATGGGAGAGGAAGAGGCAGCGACCCAAAAATCAAATTGGTTTCCGAGAATTCTCAAGCACGGGAGAGGAAGAGGAAGGCAGAGGCCCAAGAATCTCAGGAAGCACCACTTGGTGGTGGTGGTGGTGAGAGCCATACGTGGCAGCAGGCTGTAGAAAACTGTGCTCTGTTAGAAAAAAAACCGTGCTCGAAGAAAACTCTCGTGAGTTTGTAGGGTAGTTTTGATGGTTAATTTTTAGTCGACTCAAAAATCACCTCTGAAAAAACCTCTGAAATTGGCACGGACTGAGGAATTGGCTCTTGAGAATTCTCAAGCATGGGAGAGGAAGAAGAAGGCAGAGACCCAAGAATCTCTGTTTCGATCGCCCGGCGGTTTAAATTTGCCGTCGGATTGACAGCGGACCATTGAATGGTGGCTAAATGGTGGCTAAGTGGTGGCTAAGTGGTGGCTAAGTGGTGACTAAGTGGTGGCTACTTGGTGGCTAAGTGGTGGCTAAGTGGTGGCGAAGTGATGCAGGAGAGGGAGGAGGAGAGGGACGAGAGATTGACGTTGGGCAGGACGGAGCTCATACACCAGCAAGCAACCAGCAGCAGAGCAGCCCAGCAGCCCAGCCACCCAGCAGCACGGCTGCTGAGGAAGGCAGCCCCCAGCATCCGAACAGCCAGTACAGCAACATACCTTGCAGGTGGTCGGCTACACTCCCGTTAGGAAGGAACTCATACACCAGCAGGCTAGCAGCCACCAGCAACCCCCAGCATCAGAACAGCCAGTACAGCAACACACCGTGCAGGTGGTCGGCGAGACTGCCGTTGGGAAGGAACTCGTACACCAGCAGGCGCTGGTCCCCCCGCATGCAGTACCCCATGAGTTTCACCTGGCAGGGGACCAGGGCAACGGTGGGTGAAGGGGAAGAGGGGAGGGGGGGGGATGTGTCAAGGCATGTCAAAAGAGGCCTCCCTCCTTGCCTAGCATGCTCTTGGGAAGGAACTCATACACCAGCAGGCGCTGATCCCCTCGCATGCAGTACCCCATGAGCAGGGTGTTTTTGAGAATTCTCAAAAACATGCTCTTGGGAAGGAACTCATACACCAGCAGGCGCTGATCCCCCCGCATGCAGCACCCATCAGCTTCACCTGATCAGAGGTGGGAGAGGAGGGCGACGGGAGTGGGAGAGGAGGGGAGTAACGGGAAAGGAGAATGGGTGTGTTTCCATACACCAGCAGCAGGCGCTGATCCCCCCGCATGCAGCACCCATCAGCTTCACCTGGCAGGGGACCAGGGCAACGGTGGTTGGGGAAGGGGGAAGAGGGGAGGGGGGGGGATGTGTCAAGGCATGTCAAAAGAGGCCTCCCTCCTTGCCTGGCATGCTCTTGGAAAGGAACTCATACACCAACAGGCGCTGGCCCCCCCGCATGCAGTACCCCATGAGCTTCACCTGGCAGGGGACCAGGGCAGCGGTGGTTGGGGAAGGGGGAAGAGGGGAGGGGGGGGGATGTGCCAAGGCATGTCAAAAGAGGCCTCCCTCCTTGCCTGGCATGCTCTTGGGAAGGAACTCATACACCAGCAGGCGCTGATCCCCCCGCATGCAGCACCCATCAGCTTCACCTGATCAGAGGTGGGAGAGGAGGGCGACGGGAGTGGGAGAGGAGGGGAGTAACGGGAAAGGAGAATGGGTGTGCTTCCATACACCAGCAGCGGGCGCTGATCCCCTCGCATGCAGCACCCATCAGCTTCTGAGAATTCTCAAAAACCAATCTCCCCGCATGCAGCACCCTATCAGCTTCACCCGGCAAGAGGTGGAAAAGAGAGCGAGGAAGGGAGAAAGAAGAGGGTGAGGAGGTGGGGGAAAAGACGGGGCGGAGGGGGTGGGGAGTGGGGTGGGCGGGGGGGCTTAGCAATGAAGGGGGGCGTGGGGGGGCAGTTTGAGAAATAAACAAGAAGAGTCAGATTTACAAGGGAGGTACTACTACTCTCTTGTTGGAACCCAAACCAAACCCCTCAACGAAGGGTGACCCCTCCTCCTACCAGGTGCTTGTGCTCGAGTCTACTGAGCAGCTCCAGCTCAAACTCTATTTTTGAGGCGCCTCAAAAATAGACTCCTCAGCAGCTCCAGCTCGGTCACAAATTCCTCGTCGCCCTGCTGACAACCCCCCCCCTCCCCCCTCCCATGACAAACCCTAAAGCGGCCAGCTAACTGAGCAGTCTCCCCCTACCAGGTGCTTGTGCTCCAGCCGGCTCAGCAGCTCCAGCTCGGTCACAAACTCCTCGTCGCCCTGCTCCCCTCCCTGCTTCAGCAGCTTCACCGCTACAACCTGTGGGGCGAGGAAGGGGGCATATTGGGAAGGCTCATAAGAGGACGATATATCAAAGCATACAAGGGGTTGAGCCAGCTCGGTCACAAACTCCTCGTCGCCCTGCTCCCCTCCCTGCTTCAGCAGCTTCACTGCTACCACCTGGGAGTTGGAGGGGAAGTTGCAGCACGTACAGCAAAAGAAAGCAAAGAAAGCAGTGGGCAGCAACGAAAAGCCATGGGAGCAATCCTTGCTGTGCCACAAAAGATTCACCCGAGTGGGGTGCCGCACTCAACCCGCCCTGCCCCAACACGTGGGAGGGGACTACAGTACAGCACATCGCAGCACACCACAGCACACTGCAGCACACCGCAGCACACCGCAGCACACCGCAGCACAACACAGCACACCACGACAGACAGTTTACCACGTCTTGCGGCACATAGCTGGGCGGGGTGCACCGGCAGCAATCCTTAGCAGACCTTCCCAAACACGCCCTGCCCCAACGCACCACGCACACCACACTGCTGGACCATAGGCCCTACTCATGTCAAACCCATTCACATCCCAGTCGCACCTGAGCGGGGTGCACCGGCAGCACGCCATAGTAGACCTTCCCAAACCCGCCCTGCCCCAACACGTTGGCCTCGCTAAAATTCTCCGTCGCCAGCTGGTAGTGCAGGATTGGAGAGGGGGGATTGGAGAGAGGTAGAATATATATGTACATATACATTTTTTCCAGGCATCTTAAACACAGTTCCTCTGTCACCATCTGGCAGTACGGAAGTGGACGAGAGGCGGAAGAGCAGGAAGGGTACCCTGTGGCTCGGGTGGCGGGGAGAGCGCGAATGAGTGAATGGATTTGTGAATGCGATGGTTGAGACGTCTCAAAAAAAGGAGGTTTGTTGTGGACAAGAACAGAAGGCAAGAAGTAATGCACATACATAGTGATTAATCAAATTATAATAATAAACACAATCACGCGTGTATGTACCTGTAGTTCAGAGTACTGGTAATGCGTTCTCTTGGGAGCAGGCAGGTCGCCAAACTCTGCTGCCATGGATGACGTTCTGCATGGGATGGAGGGGGGGGGGAAGGGAGGGGGGGAAGGGAGGGGGGGGGAGGTGGGGACAAGGGGGTTGACACTGGAGGAAGTGACTTAAAGCACTTGTGAAACACGCTCTCTTGGGAGGAGTAGGCAGGTCACCAAACTCTGCTGCCGTGGATGACGTTCGGGGAAGAGGGAAGGAGATGGGGGGTGTGGAGGAGGGGCGGGTGGTCGGGGAAGAGGGAAAAAGACAGAGTGCATGAGTGTGTTCCCATACTGGTAGTGTATACTCTTGGGAGCAGGCAGGTCGCCAAACTGTGCTGCCATGGATGACGTTCTGCATGGGGGTGAGTGGGGAGGAGGGGGGTTGGGAGAGAGGGCAGGAGAAAGAGCGAATGAGTGTGTACCCATGCTGGAAGCGTGTGCTCTTGACTGTCAGCAGGTCGCCAAACTGTGCTGCCATGGATGGCGTTCTGCATGGGGATGGGCGGGGGGAGAGGGGGGGGGAAGGGGAGGGCGGGAGGAAGGGCAAGGGGTGAAGGGGGGAGAATGAGCGACTGAGTGTCTCTAGGGAGCAGGCAGGTCGCCAAACTCTGCTGCCAACGTTCTGCAAGGGGATGGGCGGGGGGAGAAGTGGGGGAATGAGATGGCGGGGGGGGGGAGAGGGAAAGGGGTGAAAGGGGCAGAACGACGAGTGACTGAGTGTCTCTTGGGTGCTGGCAGGTTGCCCAACTCTGCTGCTACGGACGAGGTTCTGCATGGGATAGGGTGGGGTAAAAGGGACCGAGTGAGACGAATGGTCGATGCAACCTTTATCACTGGTTCCCGTTGTTGTTACCCTTGCTCCCTCACAATCTTGATGCAAGGACCTACGGCGAGAGCGTGACGCACACACCTGTCACAGGGGACCCATGGTCACAGGGGACATCGCACCTGGCGAGAGGGTTGCCGCCACTGTGGGCCTGTCTGGGGTGGCCTTGGCTTGGCTGGTTCCCCTTGCTCGCCATGCTCCCCTCACGATGGCAATGCAAGGAGCAGGGAGAGAGAGTGACGCACATATGGTCACACAGTGACGCACATATGGTCCCACAGTGACGCACATATGGTCACAGGGGACATCGCACCTGGCAAGAGGGTTGCCGCTGGATGGTCTGTCTGATGGGGTGGCCTTGAGTGGCTCGGGGGGTTCTGTCTCGTCTAACTCTACCCGCTGCATGGCTGGGTGTTTCTCCCCCCACTGGATCGACGAGACAGCTCAGCTCAAGCACCTGGCGAGAGGGTTGCCACTGGATGGTCTGTCTGTCTGATGGGGCTGCTTTGGCTGGCTTGGACGGGTCTGTCCTGGCCACCTACCCTCTACATGGCTGGCTTGGGTGGGTTTCTTTCTCCTCCCCAACTGGAGCAACACACCGCACCTGGCGAGAGGGTTGCCGCTGGATGGTCTGTCTGGTGGGGCTGCTTTGGCTGGCTTGGGTGGCCGCTTGCCCCCTGATGCTCCCGCGCTGCTTCCCCCACTTGCAGGCGCGTTGGAAGCAGATGCTGAAAAATGGGGGGGGGGGGGGGTAACAGCAGAGAGAGGTGGGAGGGTGGGCAAGGAAAATCCGGGTAAGAAGAGAGTAGTGGTCACTCCCTCCCTGCTGCTGCCCCGCTGCTTCCCCCACCTGCATGTGCGTTGGACGCAGATGCTGTGAAATGGGGGGAGGGGTGAAGCGGGTGCGGGTGCGGGGGTGGGGGTGGGCTGTGGAGGAAAAATAACGGAGAAAGTGGATGAGTGAGCAGCAGGGAGAATATATGAGGCGCCTCAAAATCGTCTCTTTTTCCCCTGCTGCTGCCCGCTGCTCCCCCCCCCCCCACTTGCAGGCGCGTTCAAAGCAGATGCTGTGAAAGAAGGGGGAGTCGAGTTTGTGTGTGGCGGGGGGGGAGGAGAAGGAGGGAGAGGGTGGTGGGTGCCAGAGAAATGGAGGAGAGAGTAACTGAGCGAGTAGAATGGAAAGTAAAGGGGTGCGAAATGGGAGAAGACCAACCAAAAGTGTGTAATGAGTCGATTTTTTAGTCGACTCAAAAATCGACTCATTACAACCAAAACTCACAGGACTGTTTTAGCAGAGTGGACAGCAGGGCGAACTGCTGCCCCACCTCCCCGGCGTGGCGACTGATCTTCTTCTTGATCACATGGTGCAGCGACAGGATACGTTGCAAATGAGGCGCCTGACTCACTATCCGACTCAAACAGTGACAGAGCAGCAGCACTCACAGGACTTTTTTAGGAGAGTGGAGAGCCGGGCGAACTGCTGTCCCACCTCTCCAGCATGACTACTGATCTTCTTCTTGATCACGTTGTGCAGTGACAGGTTGCGGTCAAACGACGCTTCCTCCACTTGCGGCACAGGCCTCGGTGAAGGGAGGCTCAGATTCCTCTCCAGCGCCAGCCCCTCCGCTTCCCCCTCCTCGCCCCTCCCCCCTCCCCCTCCGCCTCCCCCCTCCGCCGCCCCCTCTGCTCCCAACCCGTCGGTGAAACTGGTGGAGAGTCGAGCGGGAGGGATGGGGGCATGGGACGCCCTGCTGGTGGGGGGGGCTGCCCTGTCTGCTGAGAAGGCACGGGGAAGGGGGAGTTTTGGCTGGGGGGGTTTTTTGGGGAGGGAGGATGCGTTTGGTTGTGATACTGGTGGTGGTGGGGGGGTTGTTGGAGCAGCATAGAGGTCTCTGCCTCCAGCAGCAGGCGCAGCAGCATTGTTTGCCACAGCAGCAGCTGCCTCAGTGGCAGCAGCGGTTGCAGCAGCAACAGCAGCAGCAGCATTGTCTGCAGAATAAAGGTCGGCCCGTCTTTGTTCACCTACTCTACCCCACCCAGCATACAAATCACCGCCTCCAGCACCAGCAGCAGCACCAGCAGCAGTAGCTCTTGCCTCGATCACTGCTTCTTCCCGCTCCGCCTCGCCCTGTGTGTCCCCCAAACCCCAAACCCTCCCCGGACTCCCCCCAGTGCCCCCAGATGGCCCTGCCTCAGGAACAGAACTACTTCTCCCAATCCAATTCCCACCTGCACCAGGTAAACCTACCCCCGCTCCACCTGTGCCACCTTCTCCAGATAAACCTACCTCCGAACCACTCCTCCCAATCGACTTCCCAACTGCACCGCCTCCTCCCACCTCCCGTCCCCTCCCCATCCCTCCCTCTAGCCCCTCCCCTTCCTCTGCTGCCAGTCCGAACTGCTCAGCTAGCTGGGCAAACTCTCGCTGCTCCCAGCTCCCATGCCTCAGAATCGACGCAGCCGATGCTCCTCTTTTCCCCCCTGAGAGAACCGACCCTGCGGAAACACCTGCCGATGCTCCCGAAAGAACAGACGATCCAGGAACTCCCGATGCTCCCGATGCTCCAGAAAGCGGGCTTTTCCACCCGCCTGTCGGAGGTTTATTTTTCGCCTGCCCGCTGCCGCTGCCCTTCAGCACGTCAAGAGCCGACGGGGGAACCGAGGTCAGAAAATCTTCCGCATCCGAACCACCTTCCGAACCAGACCCCTCCAAGAGGTCTCCCGAGCCTGCCGCTCCCGAATCTACTCCCGAAGCTGGGCCGCCTAAACCTGTTCCCAAGCCAATGCTGCTGCCAAACCTGGCGTGCCCGGCCCGCTGGGTTCGGTTGTGGTACGATGACGAAGCTGGCCTGCTTCGGACGCCGCCGCTGCTGGCGAGCCTCCTAGAGGAAGACCTGGGCCTCGATCCCCCTCCAAACCCTAAATCAAACCCTAAACCCGACCCAGATTCCGCAGCAGCTGCAGCAGCAGCAGCGGCAGACACTGCTTCTGGGGTCCCCATTGACGCATCTGCTCCCCCTGCAGAACCTCCTGTCAATCCCTCTAAGCCTTGCCTCTCCTGAAGCTGCTGCAGCAGTAGCTGTAACTCTTGCCTGTCTGCCTGCCCTGCTTTGAACCTAGCAGCCCAGTCCCTTAGCCGCGAATCCTTCAACCCTAGCTGGAGCAACTCCTCTAGAGCTACACCGTCGCCCAGTGCGCCTGCTCCCAAGCCTGCTGCCAAACCTCCTGCCGAGCCTGGTCCCGAGCCTCCGGATTTGGCAGGCTTGGCCGAGGCTGAGTGTGCTTTCCGGATGGAGGAGGGTCGGGAGCCGTGGCTTGGAGGCAGGGCAAATTGACCAGCCAATTCTCCTCTGCCTCCTCCTTCTCCTCTCCCTCCTCCTTCTCCTCCTCCTCCTCCTCCCCAACCTACCCGTAACTCATCCTCTCCCTCTAGCCCCATCATTTGAGCCGCTATTCTCGTCAGCTGATCACTGCCCATCCCCTCATCCTCCTCTCCCTCCCCTCCCCTCCTCATACCGCCCACCACCTTCCCTCTCCTCCTCTCCCTGCTTGGAGCCTCCCCTGCTGTTGCGCAGTGCTGCATTCGCCGGGGGCCAGAGGCAGAATAAGAGGCAGCAGAAGCAGGAGCAGAAGCTAGAGCAGAAGCGGGAGCAGATACCGACGCCGCAGAGTAACCAGCAGAAGAAGCACTGTAGCTCTGCTGATGCTGCTGGTCCTGCTGCCAACTGGCCGCTTTTGTCCTTATCTCCGCGTCATCCCCGTCATACTCCTCTTCTGATCCATCCTCGTCCTCCCTACCAGCTGACGTGTCACCTTCCCATTCGCCACCCTCTCCACCCCTCCCTCCCCGGACCCTCCCACCCCTGTACTTCCCAGGTCGTATGGACGAATCACATGTCGCCATCCGCAGGTACTGTTCACCACCCCCCTCCATATTAATTCCTCCCTTATAATCTCCTCCCATATAATCCGTCTCCTCCCTTACCCCTGACCTGACCCCATCCCTCACTCTCTCCCTCCCCCCCTCTCTCTCCGCTTCCCTCCTCGCTTCTGCCCCCTTCTCCCTCCGCCTCATCCTCTCCACCCCTAAAGACCCTGTAGGCGGCCTGTCCAGCAGCTCATGCGCTCGGTCCGCATTATTCCAGGGTAAACCACCCGAATGTACCCTTTCTGATGCAGTTTCGATCGCGGATCTGTCCAAATCTCCGAGGTAAATCCCCCTTTCGAGGTCCCGCTGCCGGCCCCGCTCCGCCTCCTTCCCTCTCGCTCTCTCAGTCGCCATTTTTCTATACACCATCCCGTGAACCATGTCAGCACCCACCTTTCCCGAAACCAAATCTGTACCCAACCTTCCTCGCACAATGTCAGCACCCACCCTTCCGTGCACCATATCAAATCCCGACGTAGACACATTATTAGCATCGGGTTCCGCCATACCCCCTCTCCCCCGACCCATGTTCTCTGCGTGATTGTCGCTCTTAGCTTCCCCCATCACCATACTCGCCGCCAAACTTCCCCCCACGCGCTCCCCGTATCCGCGCGCCGTATTCCCCTCCATGGCGGGGGAGATGCTGCGGGACCGCCGAGGCGGAGCAGCGTTCCCCGCTTCCGCCCTCCCCATTGGTCCAATTCCCCTCAGCGGATCTCCACCGTACAAATCCATTCCCCTTATTGGCTGCTGCTCGGAGTACCGCTCCTCTCCACCGTACTCCACCGCGGCATTCGTCAACTGCGGAGCCCCATAAAGGTCATGTATCCCCGCGGAGCGCTGCGCCAATCGCTGCGCTCCCGCGCTTTCCGCGGGTCTGCGCGGCGGCGTCTTTTTCCGCATCCTCTCCGTCCCCCTCTGGCCCTTATTCCCCCCTCCTAGCTCCATTTTTCCCACACGCCAACACTAGTTCTTGGAAACTTTCCAGAAACAGATCATGACGCCAGCTGTGTATCTCAGAAAAAAAATCTCAAATGTCTATCGCCAGCCTATAGCCTTCCTATCGCCAGCTCTACGCCAGTTGGCTCCAGATTCATGCGGGTGAAATGCAACAGTTTTGAGACCTCTCAAAACTAACCTCAGCCTATCGTCTACGCCAGTTGGTTCCAGATTCACGCAGGAATGACCTGACGCGCGGTAAATCCCAAGCTACGAGACCAGGAAACAGAGGCGACGACAGCGAGACAGGACCAGGGTGGGGTGGGGGCGACGGCTTCAGAAAATACCAGCAAGGCTTTTCTCTTGACAATGTCATTTCTGTCACACCGAAATTATCTAGGTGAAGTGTCGGTCCCTCAGGGAAAAGTTGTTTTTAGCAGAAAGTCAGTCCGCTTCGATATAATGTATACCTGATTGCACGAAACATTTTGTCTGAAGTGTACGACTAGCGGGGTTTGTTGTCAGGGTTCCCGTTACCAGACGAAATCCGTGTGTTCATCTTAGAATCAGACTCACTTTTCACTTGTCATCAGATTTCTTGACAGCCAATAATTTTTGGGTTGCGTAGCAACCTTATAAATTTGGTTTCATGTTTTCGTGCGCCAGGTGTCAGAAACTAGCTTAGCTAGGAAGCCATAGAATGGCACAAGGTTTAGCTAGGAGCTAGGAGGAGCCATGAGAATGGCGAGAGGTTTTAGGTGCTAGGAAAGTTGAGGAGAGAAAAGATGTTGGATTAGAAGAGAGGGGAGTACAAGGAGGGGTTTGTACCCCCTACAGAAAGGTTCAGTAACAACCTACCAAGCCTATATTAAATTATAACTTATATAATTTGAACACACCCCCTAGGCTTGGTAGTCACATGCCCACACACACCCACACCCCCTAACCTAGCACCCCCATTCCAGCCACAGTGACAGCGACTCTAGGGCGGTCGACCCCACGGCGCGTGAGGCGGCGACGTCGACCGCAGGGGCTGCGGCGGCGACGGCAGCAGCGGCGGCAGTGTCGACAGCGGCAGCGGCGGCGGCGTGCGGCTGCGTGGCCCCGACGCAAGCGGCGACAGCGGCGGCGGCGGCGGCTTCGACAACAGCGGCAGCGGCGGCGGCACCCGCACCTCTCGGCGACGTGGCCAGGCCCCGCGACGGTGGGACGGCCGGCGGGAGTCAGCCGTCGTCTGCAGAATGGAAGAGGGCACAAGGGAAGGAGGGGGGTGGGGGGGGGGGGCGCCACAGGCTGACATGCGGGCGGCCGGTCTAGCGGCGCCACAAGCGTCACGCGGCCGGCTGCAGCCCGACGACGCCGTCATGGAGCGGCGTCGATGCCGCAGCGGGGCGTCGACGTTGCGACGGCAACACGACGTCGCCGTTACGCCGACCGCGCGCTGTCGCGTAGACGCCGCGGCAGCGTGACGGCGCCGTCACGTCGCGACAGCATCTTGACGCGACGGCGGAGCTGCGGCACGACGGCGCGGCCACAGCAGCTGGACGCGGGCGCCATGGACGTCGACGGCGGCGCCGCGGCACGACGACGCGGCCACAGCAGCTTGACGCGGCCGCCATGGCAGCGCGAGATAGAGAGAGAAACGAGCACGCAGCGGAAACGCGAGGAGCAGGCCCACGCGGAACGAACTGCTCTGATACCATGTCAGAAACTAGCTTAGCTAGGAAGCCATAGAATGGCACAAGGTTTAGCTAGGAGCTAGGAGGAGCCATGAGAATGGCGAGAGGTTTTAGGTGCTAGGAAAGTTGAGGAGAGAAAAGATGTTGGATTAGAAGAGAGGGGAGTACAAGGAGGGGTTTGTACCCCCTACAGAAAGGTTCAGTAACAACCTACCAAGCCTATATAAAATTATAACTTATATAATTTGAACACCAGGGTGTCTAATAACTTAGGGTTACTACACCTGTAAAACGGTTGAATGTAAATATTTTACACTCATATAGTATTGTTATGATACGACCTTATGTTGTTTACTTTATATATGTTTTGCCTACCAACCGTCCGTCGATGAATACGGCGGACGAATGGTTTCAAAACATACATTCTGTCGCATTTTTGTCACACAAAATCAACCGCATACAAATGCGTACGAATGTACAATGAAGCCATGCACGAATGCTTCCGTGCTGCAAGCGTGGTTGACGTGTACGTTTTGGAAGCAAAGCTTTCCAAGCCGACAACGACAACCACAATTTGCATGTTGCACTTAGCATATATGCACCACTCCAATACAAACATGACATTACAAAATGCACGACCACAAAACAATACACACATTATGCAAACGTAGAATCCCGCCATGAATACAATGAAGTGATACACGAATACTTTCGTGCTGCAAGTGAGGTTGACATGTACGTTTTGGAAGCAACGCTCTCCAAACCGACAACGACAACCACATTTTGCGTACTGCACTTGGCATATATGCACCACTCCAGTACAAACATGACACCACGATAACAGTAACGATTCAAACCATGCAATCCACATACTCACGGAAAAAAAAACACACGCATACACGTAATAAGGGAGGAGGGTGGAAGAAAAGGGAAATAATAAGGGGGGAACCAAGAAGAGAACAAAGAAGATAGGGACCACACATCATGGGAGTACAAACACAACACACAAGAGAACTCTAAGAGAAACATGAAAGCCCAAATGTGCTGATCACTCAGTTACTACTGGTTGCGATGAAGCACACCCCCCCCCCCCCTTCTCCTCCTCTCCTTCCCTACTCTTTCTCCCCCCCCTTCCAATTCCAGCTTATCCCCTAAACCTCTCCCCCCCCCCCCACTCTTTGTCTTGGCAATGCACAAATGCAGTTACCAGTCGTCTACATAGACCTGCACGCAACGGCGATAGGAAACAAACAGAATTTAGGGTTTAGAAAACCTATTGCAATAGTTGAACACTAAGTGCGCTAGCAATAAGTGCACTAATTTCGCCAAATGATTAGGAGATGGTAAACTAGTGGACAACGAACAAATGGGCTACCATTAGGAACGATTTCGGCCAGCGCGCTGACAGCTGGTTTGCCGATGCCTAGTGCACGGATGGCGAGTGCTCAGCCAACTAGTGCGTGGACGGCTATTAAGTGGGTCGCCAATGCACCGATGACTAGTATGCGGATGGCTAACGCACAGATAGCTGGTGCGCATACAACTAGTGTGCGGACGGCTAGTGTGCCGAAGGTTAGTGTGCCGACGGCTAGTGCACACATAGCTAGGTGCTGCTAGGTGTTGCTAGGTGCTGCTAGGTGTTGCTAGGTGCTGCTAGGTGTTGCTAGGTGCTGCTAGGTGCTGTTAGATGCTGCTAGGTGCTGCTAGGTGCTGCTAGGTGCTGCTAGGTGCTGCCAGGTGCTGCTAGGTGCTGCTAGGTGCTGCTAGGTGCTGCTAGGTGCTGCTAGGTGCTGCTAGTGCTGCTAGCTGCTGCTAGCTGCTGCTAGGTGCTGCTAGGTGCTGCTAGGTGCTGCTAGGTGCTGCTAGGTGCTGCTAGGTGCTGCTAGGTGCTGCTAGGTGCTGCTAGGTGTTGCTAGGTATTGCTAGGTGCTGCTAGGTGCTGCTAGGTGTTGCTAGGTGCTGCTGGGTGCTGCTAGGTGCTGCAAGGTGCTGCGAGGTGTAGCCAGGTGCTGCTAGGTGCTGCCAGGTGCTGCTAGGTGCTGCTAGGTGCTGCTAGGAGCTGCTAGGTGGTGCTAAGTGCTGCTAGGTGCTGCTAGGTGCTGCTAGGTGCTGCTAGGTGCTGCTAGGTGCTGCTAGGTGCTGCTAGGTGCTGCTAGGTGCTGCTAGGTGCTGCTAGGTGCTGCTAGGTGCTGCTAGGTGCTGCTAGGTGCTGCTAGGTGCTGCTAGGTGCTGCTAGGTGCTGCTAGGTGCTGCTAGGTGCTGCTAGGTGCTGCTAGGTGCTGCTAGGTGCTGCTAGGTGCTGCTAGGTGCTGCTAGGTGCTGCTAGGTGCTGCTAGGTGCTGCTAGGTGCTGCTAGGTGCTTGCTGCTAGGTGCTGCTAGGTGCTGCTAGGTGCTGCTAGGTGCTGCTAGGTGCTGCTAGGTGCTGCTAGGTGTTTCTAGGTGCTGCTAGGTGCTGCTAGGTGCTGCTAGGTGTTGCTAGGCGTTGCTAGGTGCTGCTAGGTGCTGCTAGGTGCTGCTAGGTGCTGCTAGGTGCTGCTAGGTGCTGCTAGGTGCTGCTAGGTGCTGCTAGGTGCTGCTAGGTGCTGCTAGGTGCTGCTAGGTGCTGCTAGGTGCTGCTAGGTGCTGCTAGGTGCTGCTAGGTGCTGCTAGGTGCTGCTAGGTGCTGCTAGGTGCTGCTAGGTGCTGCTAGGTGCTGCTAGGTGTTGCTAGGTGCTGTTAGGTTCTGCTAGGTGCTGCTAGGTGCTGCTAGGTGCTGCTAGGTGCTGCTAAGTGCTGCTAGGTGCTGCTAGGTGCTGCTAGGTGCTGCTAGGTGCTGCTAGGTGCTGCTAGGTGCTGCTAGGTGCTGCTAGGTGCTGCTAGGTGCTGCTAGGTGTTGCTAGGTGCTGTTAGGTTCTGCTAGGTGCTGCTAGGTGCTGCTAGGTGCTGCTAGGTGCTGCTAGGTGCTTCTAGGTGCTGCTAGGTGCTGCTAGGTGCTGCTAGGTGCTGCAAGATGCTGCTAGGTGCTGCTAGGTGCTGCTAGGTGCTGCTAGGTGCTGCTAGGTGCTGCTAGGTGCAGCTAGGTGTTGCTAGGTGCTGACCTGCCAGAAGAAAGGGCGCCTCACTATCACTCAGCACCAATGAAGCACGTCGCTTGCCACGCCATCAGCCCGTTCCGCCATCGAGCGCGGTGCCTGTGCGCAGGATCACCGCATGCCTTGCACCAACGCGCGCGCCGCCTGTGCTCCTAGTGCACAGCGGGGCGTCAGAGCGGCTGACGCCAGCACGCCTAGAGCCAGTGCGCTACGCAGGCCAGACGCTAGGCGTCTGCGCACTTAGCGTTGGTGACCGCAGCGCCAGTGTGCCTAGAGCCAGCATGGCGCCAACGCGCCTGCACCAGCGAGCGTGGCGCCAGCACGCTAGCTCAGGCCAGCGTGGCGCTTGCGCCCCTAGAGCCAGCGCGCGCCAGCCAGCGTGGCGCGTGCGCGCCTAGCGCTAGCGCCAACCAGCACAGCGCTTGCGACCCTAGCGCCAGCGCGTGCCAGTCAGCGCAGCGTCAGCGCCCTGGCGCCAGCGCGCTAGCGCAAGTCAGCGCGGCGCTTGCACCCCTAGAGCCAGCGCACGCCAGCCAGCGCGGCACCTGCGCACCTAGGTGCAGCGTCAGCGCGCTAGCGCCAGACACATCGGCGCCAGCGCGCTAGCGC